AAATTATCCCAAAATTACCCAAAAATATCCCCAAAATCATCCCAAATTTACCCCCAAATCGCCCCAAAAATCACCCCAAAATCACCCCAAAATTACCCCAAAATTACCCCAAAATCACCCCAAAATTACCCCAAAATCACCCCAAAATCACCCCAAAATTATCCCAAAATCGCCCCAAAAATATCGAAAAAATGCCCCCAAAATTATCCCAAAAATACCCAAAAAATCGACCCAAAATCACCCCAAAATTATCCCAAAATTATCCCAAAATCTCCCCAAAGTTATCCCAAAAATACCCAAAAAATACCCCAAAAATTATCCCAAAATTATCCCAAAATCACCCCAAAATCACCCCAAAAATACCCAAAAAACACCCCAAAATCACCCCAAAATCACCCCGAAATCACCCCAAAAAATCCCCAAAATTATCCCAAAAATACTCAAAAATCACCCCAAAAATAAAAAAAAAATCCCCCCAAAATTCCCATTTTTTCACCCAAATTTCCCCCAAATCCCAAGGAAATTTCAGATCCCAATCCCCCAGAATTCCATGAATTTTTTTCCTCCAATTTTGGGAATTTTTTGGGTTAAAATTCAGGATTTCAGCCCCAAAATTCCAAATTTCAGGACCGAAATTCCCCCAAAAATTCCCCCAAAAATTCCCATTTTTTTCTGAATTTTTTCACCCAAATTTCCCCCAATCCCAAGGAAATTTCAGATCCCAATCCCTCAGAATTCCATGAATTTTTTTCCTCCAATTTTGAGGGATTTTAGGGTTAAAATTCAGGATTTTGGGACCGAAATCCCCCCTAAAATTCCCCCCAAAATTCCCATTTTTTCACCCAAGTTTTTCCTCAGAATTTCCCCCATTCCCAGCAAATTCTGGATCCCAATCCCTCAGAATTCCATGGATTTTATCCCTGGGATTTTTGGGTTAAAATTCAGGATTTCAGACCCAGAATTCAGGATTTTGGGACCGAAATTCCCCCTAAAATTCCCCCAAAAATTCCGATTTTTTCCCCATTTTTTCCCCGATTTTCCCCCAATTTTTTCCCAATTTTTCCCCCAATTTTTCCCTGTAATTCCCCCTCATTCCCAGCCCAATTTTTCCCAAAATTTCCTGTTTTTTCCATTCCCCAGACCACGCCCTGGGCCTGGCCCAGAAGGATTTCAGGGCTCAAATCCCCCCTAAAATTCCCATTTTTTTTCTCAATTTTCCCTTGAAATTTTCCCCCAATCCCAAGGAAATTTCAGATCCCAATCCCTCAGAATTCCATGAATTTTTTTCCTCCAATTTTGAGGGATTTTAGGATTAAAATTCAGGATTTTGGGACCGAAATCCCCCCAAAAATTCCGCCAAAAATTCCGATTTTTCCCCGATTTTTCCCCATTTTTTCCCCGATTTTCCCCCAATTTTCCCCCAATTTTTTCCCAATTTTTTCCCAATTTTTCCCTGTAATTCCCCCCATTCCCAGCCTCATTCCCAGCCCAATTTTTCCCAAAATTTCCTGTTTTTTCCATTCCCCAGACCACGCCCTGGACCTGGCCGAGAAGGATTTCACGGTCAACGCCGTTGCCGGCGCCATGAAGAGTTTCTTCTCGGAGCTGCCCGAGCCCCTCGTGCCCTAT